CTTTCTCGAAGTAGTAAAGCCTAATTTTGCGAATATGCGGAAGGTTTGTTGAGTATATTTTTGTAGAGGAAATCAAGTAGATCATTTCTAGAAAAAAACCCGAACTCAATATTCAAATCCTTTCAAGAGAAAAAAGCAGTTGATGCATAATTATTGCGGATTTTTCCGCAATAATTATGCATCAACCTAATAATTCGGATATCGGTATTTACCTTTGACAGAAGGCTCTTTTGTATGAGCGAGATCCTGAACATCAATCTCAAGAGATAATGACGCCAATGGCAGGTCGACGAGTGGTTTATTCAGACTCAGCTCTGCTTGGTGATCGATCATCTGCATTTGAAAAATGTCCGTTTTCAGTTCCGAAGCTGCACTACCGTTCAGGCAAACGCCGGAAATTGATACGATCGACAGTTGTAAAGTAGCGTCTTCATCGTCATCACTTATGACGAAGGCAGCCACTCTGGAGCCAACATTTTTTTCTGAAAAAAAACGTCAAAATTTGGATCATAACAAGCAAACTTGTGTGGATTCACTACATATGTGCTATACAAAATTTTCTCGGTAGTGTGTTGCCTGTTGTTAGTTGCCATTTTGTCGATGTGTTCGCTGTTCTCTTTTCATTTAACCATAATTTTTGCGAGACCATGAAGTTGGTCACAACTTTCCAGCAAATAAAGTTCTTTTAACTCATCCTTGGTTTTTGAGAAATTTTTGACGAGAAATGCGTTTTAATTGATTGAGTCGGTTATTTCTGCGATAGCATTGTTCTTACTAAAGCTTATCTTGGGAAAAGAAAGAAGAGTTAGCAGAATGAAATCATATTGTAGTCAATATGTACTTGATCTTTCTCACGGAACTCGAAATTTTCCGGGAAACCTAATATGGACAAAGTCTCACTGAATGTCGTGAAGGCACAATTTACGACAAAAATAGTTTCCAAGAGTCCCTAGCAGGATGATCGTGTGGCTTCATAGATGTCATATGAGGCGCTGCTCGGTCGAGAATGAACCTACGCTTGAATCCACAAGTGACCTGTTTTACTGCCCTTACAAAGGCTGCATCATTCATAGTAAGTACAGCGTTGAATATTCAAGCAACCAGTCGCGCGCGACCCATGGCGGCAGTGGAAGGCAATTTTTGTGATTTTTGCATACTGTAGCCTACATTATATGCAGTTGAACATAAGTAATACCTCCAAATACTCCTTCCATGCCACTTCTGTCGTCAAACTCTCGTTCGAGCCCTTCTTTTTAGCACTACAAGAAGACTTACATTTCGCAAAATCCGTCCACTTTCCCCTTTTTGTTCAACATCTTTGCGCTATTCTGCCTCACTACTCCCATTATTCAATTTACTATGTGAATAGAAATCATCTTGAATTCTGTTCTGAACTACTAGCTGTTCATCTCTATGTTAACTGATTTATGATTGAGCGCTGTAAAAAACGCCTAGCTTATCTACACACCATTATGGAATCATTAAACTCACGTGCATCAACTGCGATCATTTGTTCAGTGCCATCAATAACCAATGGAGGATTGGAGTGCAAGCCTTCAATGAATACTTCAACCCAAGTCGTCGCCGCGAGATATTGTCCAACAGTTGAACGAGCAAGAACCTAGCAATTAGTTGTACAAAACCTTGACCTTACTCCCATTTCTCACTAGTTAATCCACCGATCACAAGTTCCACAATATGATGGGCGTTGCAAAGGCAATTCAGGTGTTTGGCACTATAAGTATATCAGCACAACTATTGAAAAATGTAAAGCAGCTTAAGTTGCTGGGTCCTGGTCTGGGTGCAGTTTACCAAAATAAAACGAGAACAGATCTAGAGCTTCAGTTTATGGGGAAATTGAAGTCAGTGGAGTCAACTTATAGTCTACCAATGTTGATCCAAGTCCCCGGACAGCAAGATGCATCGTTTAGTGACCAATTTCACGATCACCCTTCAGTACATGATTGGTCAATGTTCACTACTATAGCGAACACTGACCGGGAGGGGAGGTCTGAAAGGCAGTTCTCTCTGCTGAAAGATGTTACTGAAATGGGTTTGTAGATGAACTTCGTTGTCTAGAGCTCAGACAAGGATGTAAAATCAGTAAGTTGTCCCCACTCCGACTCAAGATACATAACTAGCGACTGCGCTATAGAAAACTCTATGTAATCTAATGGCTATGTGGAGCCAGAACAGTATCTGGTCCGTTACTCATCTAACAATTGGTTGGACATAGACACCTTCTTATTGGGACAGTCAGACTTACCAGAACTGTGAAATTCCTTGACTCCTTTTCAGGCTCGCGCTGATAGTACAACACGCCCTGGTCGTCAATATTCACTGCACCCTGTCCACCTTCGGCGATACCAAACTCGATCGTATTATTTTCGGCACCAACCAGTTCCATCATGCCGATTAGGCTTACACCAGCGGCCACAGTGAATGAATAAGAGTCCTCAAGCAAGTATGGTCAGTGGTCCAGAGTTTGTTGTTAAAAAACACCGAATGTTTTGCACACGTTTTGCTGCGATAGCGTTTCAAGCTCAGAAATTGTACAGCAATTTTTTACCTGGACTGTCAAAATCAACCAACGTACTTTGACAAAGCTGAAAATTTTAGGACGTTGAGCTGCGGCAAGCAGAGAGATGCTGATAGGAGATTTGACTTGGGATTTCTTATCCGTTGCTGTCACTGTGAGGTTGAACTGAGATCGGAAGCCAGCTTGTGTTAGGAATTCGGGATGCTGGAAACACCACTTCAAGAAAGCGTCCAATCAATTGCGTCAGTATGAAGGGATGCTACGTAATGTAAGTCATGGATGCATTTCAGCCAGATACATACAGTGTGTAAGAGAGTTATGCGCGTCTAGCAATTACAATGTATTTGGAGCTACTATGCTGAGAATAACAATGGATCTACATATACAGTAGCGCTCAAAAGTCTTCGGTGCAATGCTTTAACGCTTTTTCTTTCATAACTTTTTTCTTAGTAAACCAAATCGCGCGAAATTTGGATATGTTTAACTAGAGCATATTTCACCCTACCCAACACTCTTCGACTGCAAAGCTGCAACATGCACAGATAGAGCATGGTGTTTGTTGCGGTAGCAGATTTTGCTAAAACTAAAGTTGTTGACGTCTGCAGTAACACAAAAATTATGTGCGTTTTTGTAATCTACTATGTTCGGCATTAGCGCTCGTACACTTTGGACATGACGAAAAGGAAAGAATTTCTAGGAGGACCAATGTTTGTATTTCCAGTTGATTTTGATTTCAAGCTCTTTGGGATATCAGGAAAATGACCAGTTGGCAGGTTAACAGTGGTATGTATTCACAATACACCCATGCTACACATATAGAAATTTCGCTTTATTAGATCCAGTAGGAAAGGAGTTACGACTGAAAAGTACGGCTGAAGAATCATTTCACCGAAGACTTTTGAGCGCTACTGTATGCATGTTTGCACACATCGCTTGCAACAACAAGCTACTATCACGTTTCGAAATATCCCCATGAGCACGGGTAGAGGCGCAAAGTCTGCTCCAAAGCTCTCGCATGTTGCGCGCAGGTGAACTTACTCCATTTCCTCCCGGCCGTTCTTGAGTCTTGCTTATAAAAAGTCCAAATTTGGATGGCAAATTCGACAGGTTCCTTTCTAATCAGGGACTACAAGAAAAAATCAAAGATGTTACGTCCTAGAGAGCAGTGTGATCATTTCTTGGTGCTTATGAAGTCGAGCAGCTGGCATCAGCACTTCTCCTGAACGAGCTTGGCTCGGTGAGTTGGAGTGTCGCCCTGCTGAAAGGACCACGGACTGCTTCAGAGGGGGAGCTGGATCGATGCTTTCCACCAGTGCGCTCTCTAATCATCTTTGACCTTTGCCTTTTTTTCGCATCGGTGGAGACAAAATCATGAACGTCTTATATTAGGTTGGCGCATAAGTCTTTGTACCTTTTGCGATTCTTTTCAATTTTATTTTTTTCCTTCACGACAACTAACAATTAACATATATATGTACCGTCACTATCGACAAGGTATTGTCATTTATCAGGCAACTTGTGGATCTCGCTTGCATAGAATCCCTGGGGTTTCGAGGAGAAAAACTTGCTGGGTGGCCACCACCTCCAAATGAGTAGAGATTCATGTTTGAACTTTTTGACTTTCCGGCGCCCCTACTCATGGCTGGAAAAGTTAATTACCGGCGATGAGAAGTGTGTACTCTAAGTAAACCATACAAGGAAGCGCCAGCGGCTCAGACACCTAGAGCATGGAATCCCGACCCCCAAACCAGAACTTCAACCTGGGAAGGTAATGCTTAGCGTTTGTAACCATTCGGAAGGATCACTCACTTAAACTTGTTGCCACCAAACTCCACTTTCAGCACCAAAGCCTTATGTACTTTGTGAAAGTTATTGCTGCAGATCTACGTGAGAAACAGGGGAACATTTTCTCTTCACGACAGTGCTGGCCCACACATTTCGAAAGAGGCCTGAAAGAAACCTGAAAGCTTGGGATGGCATGTTCTGGCCCACCCACCGTATTCATCTGACCTGGCTCCAACGGATTATCACCTGCTCGTGTCGCTATCAAATCATCTGGAAAATATGAAGTTTTTATGTGAATCAACTCGAGACGTGCATCGGCGAGTTTTTTTTTCCTCGAAGCCCTAGGGATTCTAAGCAAGCAAGATCCACGAGTTGCCTGACAAATGACAATACCTTGTCGATAGTGACGGTGCATATATATGTTCATTGTTAGTTGTTGAGGAGGGAAAAAATAAAAGTGAAAAAATTGCAAAAGGTACAAAGACTTATGTCCCAACCTAATAGTTGGCCGTGACTCCCTCAATAAACACCATTCTGTTGTGCTTATGACAGCTTTTTCATGAGAGATGCACTCTCGATGTTTCTATCTAGAGCGCGATCGTTTTGCTAATTGAGGATCGATTTTGCTGTGAACACTTGTCCCCTGAGAAAACGAAGAAAGGTTGCGTGTTTCCATTTGAGTGAGTTAGCAACCTTCTGCAATTTTTGACATTACATTTTCTGTTGAAATCGGAAATGGAGTCCGATTTTGCATATGATATTTGGGAGTCCGAAAAGTTTTGAGAAAATTCGGCCGGTTCATTCAACACAAAGTAACTATAGCAGCAAACGTAGATCTGTGATTAGGATAGTGGCTCTGCTTATCCACAATGTCTCTCCATCAATCGGACAAGGTATTGATGCCACTCTTCCAATATGAGGAAAGGTCACAATCGAAAATCTCCTAATACTCTTGTGTGTACCGCAATGCACTCTGATAGAATCTTTTAGTAAAACACCTAGCAAGCAGAGTGAGAATCAGCTCATGTCTTTCTTGGCATTAGCACTGTTTTACAGCGTGTTGTGGCCCTACGTCCACTGGTAGGCATTGTGATTCCCCGTGTGGATTTTTATATGACATCTACTTTTTATCCTGAGCAATGATGTAGTTGGTTGATGTTGTCGTTGGCTTGCAGTCGAGCAACTTCGGACACACACCGACTCCCCTCGACGCCCCTGCTCAGTCAAGGATGTGCGATGGTTGCAAATAGTCATGCTTTGGAAGCGACCTTTTCGTAGAACGTCTTGGATAATATATTTGGGAGCAGAGATCGTCTTTTACATTTTCTGCAGCGTTGAGGAGGATTGCTCAGACGGGAGACCAGGACAGTGTCGGTATTTGAGGGCAATGGTCGTTCGCGTCGACGAACTTCGTCGAAGCAAATCTCTTCCAAGTCTAAGCGATCGTGCCATTTATGGTAGGTGACAAGCGAGGGTGCCCTGCTGCCCACCAGTCACCATATCTCATTTCAAGCCTGAGTTTCGAAGCGATCAGTTCCGCAATGGTGAAGGAAAAGCTCCGAAGGTGGTCGTATCGATGTTACATGGTTCGGTCGACGACTACCAACTTCGAAGGACCACCTCGAATACCGATTAGTTATAGTATCGATCTATCAACGATGCCACATTCCGTGCTATCAAATCTGAAGCCCTTCATTAGGGCATTCGCCAGCAGCATGCTTTTAAAGTTGAGAGGCAAAGCTTCCCAGAAATTTCTCGACACCCTAATAATAGTGGCAAAGAAGCTACTGCTTGGCGATCCGGTCCAACGACAACTTCAATAAGTCCTTCCCAATAACCATCTTTTCGATGAGTCATCCGGTTTTACAACCTACTCCCAAACGGACTATTTCATAAGTCCTATCTTTGAAAATACCATTCTACCATTTCTTGGTTTGTTCGATTGATTCTGCACCACTGTATTTGATAACCATTATTTGCATTCGTTATTGATATCCTGAGAAATTTTACTATTACCTTTCCCTTTTTGCATGCGGATTCTTGCAGGTGGCATTGAATAAGCTCCACCCAATGAAGTGCAGTTTATAAATCATTTCTGCAATACGTGTCCCTAAACTTCGGTGCCCATAATTTTGGGACGCCCGGTATGTACATAGCCTACACCTTCCAATTCTTAGAAGGTCATACTGTATCGAATTTATTGAAGAGAGTAAGAACCCTACCTTTTTTTCTTTATGAAAGTTTGGTTCAGTATAAATGTCAGGAAAACGCTTAATCTAGGTGTGTTTTCGCTTTTGCCAGTGCACCCATTATGACGCGACATATAATTAAATGGACTTCCCCAAATAATTATTATTGCTTTTGCTATCATTAGTTCTACACAAACAAAAGTACAAAAAGTTAGTTAATCGTACTATCTTTTACTTACTTGTACCGTGAGTAGACCAATTTCGGGATGTATAGAAAACAACCCTGAAGGGTCTTGAAGTGTATACAGTACTTCTCCATTTGCTCCTTAAATGCAGTAAATATACAAAAAGAACTCATGAATTCTAGACAAGAGGAAATATCATGCTGACAATAACATTTATTGTGAACGGGAAACGTACCCGAGGTTCTTACTTTCAGCGCCTTTTCGAACAGGCCTGTTTCTTCTTCCACTATGGCATCATAGGGAGCGCCGAGAAAACGCAATCTGTCACTGCCCTCAAAACTACTATTCAAATTTGATCAATCACTGGTATGGTTCGGACAAACGACTTATTAGTCGTACTATTTCCAGGGTAAACAACAGCAATAATTCACACTTAAAGACAAAAGGAAAGGGGATCAAACAAGCCTGTCCTGACGGAACGTGGTAACCTGGTTCTTATTCACCTCTATGAAATACTTTTAACTAAATCAGTACAGTCCAAATGATGTTGATTTAATAAATTGTTCCACCTAACAACCTCGCCCGGCGAAAGAACATTTTACCCTAAAATTCCATAGATAAGAGCGGGTGAACCTACCGGTGAAAAATGAATTGGAAAAAATCGAAATTGAATGCAGTCACCCCTCTAACTTGAAGGATGGATAAATTAAACTTCGAAGAGAAAGTAAAAGAAGCTCCGCCCCTCAACTCTAAACTCCGCCCCCTTAATAAACAATTCATATAGAAAAGTAGCGATTTTGACGGATCGCTGTTTTTCTATATGAATTGTTAAGTAAGTGGGCGGGGTTTTAAGTTGAGGGGCGAAGCTTCTTCTTAACTTCTTCTTAACTTCTTAATCTTTGGAATTTTAGGGTAATTATGAAACAGGTAAGGTTAAAGCATGAAAGAAAATGGAGACTATTCCCAAGTACCTTGTTGATTGGCGTGAAATGCCAAGAGCATGCTGTCTCACCGCAATGACAGCTAAATCTGACTCGCGATATTTGAATTCTCGGCCATTTGTGCGAATTGTGCTTACACTGCCAATTTCCTTACCTTGTAAGCTAGCCAGTGAGTCATTATACATACGAATGAATACGCAATAAGGTCTACACGCGGCCAGGAGATTAATCCCCAAGCGAGATGAAAATAAGTGTCCATTACTTATAACCTTGCGATCATGCTGGCACTGTATGCCGCAACAAAAGACAACATTTCAGCATTCTTATCGACTTGTTGCGATCAATTATTTGGAAAAATTGGGAATCACGTTAACTTTTTGCATTTATTATAAAACACGAGTTACCTTGGAGTCGATAGTAATGGAGGCTATTTGTTGAGCGTTTCCTCTTTCGGCCACAAGAAGCACTGTAAACGTGCTCGGAGTAATGCAAGGAGTTTCACACGGAATAGTCGCGAGATATACGATTTGGCCCTCTCTAGTAATAGCGAATCTTTCAGACAGTGGTCCGATAAGATTGAAGCGTGTATTCGGCGGTGGTTCTGACCTCAGCTAAAGTTTTTCAAAGTTGTTTAAGTGTTAGAAGCGCATCCCGTCAAGAATCAGTAAGAATCCTAACCGGACCTCACTGCCTTCAGAGTAAAAACTTCACGATCGTATTTCCTACCTTGACGATAGCAACTTCGTTATTCTCGAAGTTATGCTCCAAAAGCAATTTATAGTCGTCTTTTTCGAAGAATGGCACGGCATCGATAGGGTGCTCACTAATTTCGGCCTTCACTTCTAGTGGTACTTGCACTTCCTTGCCGGATACCAACGTTGTGGCTTGTAGCTGAAAAACTCGTCGACGTCAATTCTAATGAGCTCTCGAATTTCTTATGATTTAAACGATTTCAATGTTACTGCCGACCCATCGAATCCATTGAACTCACAATCAGAGTTTTATTATTATGAAAACTTGATGAGTCTATTATAATCTGATTGTACAGATGGCCTCGAATTGCGTCAGGGTCACTCATGCTCTTGTCGAAAGGTCAGTTCGCTGAAACTAGTGAGTAAACCAGCTCGAAGATTTCGCAAAGCACGACTACAATGTCTACCTGTAAACTCTTTCTTACTATCAGAGGAAGAAACACATTACATGGCCCACAGGAAAATCTAGGGCTGACAACAAAAGCGCGGGTCAAGGCAACTATGTTAATTAAGTTGCTCATAGTGGGTAAGAAATATTTGTATCAGAGATTGCAGGCATACTTCAAATTTTCCATGATTACCTTCAGGCTCTCTCCACCTTCATTTCGGAGTCTCTGAGGATCAACGACGAACAGATGAACTGGTGAATTTGGGCCGACAATGGATGGTGACACAACTATTGTCTCGGAAAGAGGCTCCAGCACTATCGCAGTGTCCTCTTTGCCCTTGAATGATTGGGATTATTATCTCACTCTTTATCACCAATGAAGATGAAGAAAAATTGAGAGGATATTGTTTCTGTACCCAGTGAAGAAAACCCAAAAGAATTCTCACAAGGTGGGGCAAAATTTTCCCCATTGGTGACCTTTTCTCCTATCACCAAATGCGTGACTTCGTACTGCCCAAATCTGGATGAAGGAAAAAAGGTGAGCCACATTCATTTTTTTTTCTGCCTATCGCAAGCAATTCGCAGTTGAACGGGTGTACTGAACGTTATGATGATGCTGCAGTCTCCGAGGGCTGACGACCCTATTTCCTACTGAGTTCCTTTCAATATCCTCGCCCCTCTCCCCACCCGCTACCTTGTCACCGTGTCAGCTTTCTCTATTATGGGTCATTCATCTTGTGGAGCATGCTTTTTATGATTACGTTATTACTTCTTTAGTATTCTATGCTTCAGATACGATGACATCTACTCTATGCTTCAGATACGATGACATCTACAACTGTAAATACTGTCTTTGTGCGGACACTGACAGATCTTGTTTTCTGAAAACGATCAGTCCATCACTGAGCTGCGCGCTCCATCCAGCCGTTAGATCTGACACCCATACTTTTTATACCTTCTCTCAGATTTGATGTGACTGTATAACAGTAGTAGATTTCCATAAAAGCAGCCTTTCATCAAAAGCGGTTTCCATTAACTTTCTCGAATATATCGTCTTTGAAGGTCTTCGAACATTGATTACGAAAAACTGTGCGAGGTCAACTTGGAACGGGAACAAATCGGCGAATCAAGGACAATACTTGCAATGAACATACCCACGCCAGTCTAATTTCTTTTGATTGTTATGAATTTACAAAAACTTCTTTCTGTTCACCCTTTCACGAAAATGGAGGCTGATCGGCAATGCCGTCGGAAGCTCATTAGATTGTGTTTCTGACAATGAGCATGAAAGATTAGAAGAGAGAAAGAGGTTAGAAAATTGAAATATGGATATGAATTATTTAAATCGAAAGAAAAGCAGTTATCCTGCACCACATTTGTCGGTTGATTGAACAGAGTAAAACTTCCTTCGAGTAAAACAGTGAATGACAGCCTGTAGATCGTTTCGCAGGGAACCGTTAATTGAGGTACCCTTCTTCGGAACAAGTGGCAGTCGCTCCGGCCACACGACGCTAGCTTGAGATTCCGGCTTGACAAGATCCATTCTCCAACTTCTCTCTTGCTTTAACCGCGGCATAGCTGATGTTTGTGATAATTATTATTTTGTGCCACACGAGGTTTTTAGGTGGAACGCTTTATTTAGTCAAATGGCCTAACGTTTCGACGCGATCGTCGTCTTCAGAGGCCAAGGTTCCAACGCTCACGCGGATAAAATCCGCTGTCGCCACAGGCGACTGTCAGTAGCGAATTCGCTACTGACAGTCGCCTGTGGCGACAGCGGATTAGCGAACCTTGGCCTCTGAAGACGACGATTGCATCGAAACGTTAGGCCGTTTGACTAAATAAAGCGTTCCAGCTAAAAACCTCGTGTGGCACAAGATAATAATTATCAGAGAAATCCATTCTCTTCTTCAGTTCCGGTTCCATTAGTTTTCTCACTCTTACCAATCATTTCATATGCGTACAGAATTCTGATGACCACCTTCCAAACATTGTAGTTGGAAGCTATCAGAAGAGAGCTCAAATAACGCACGTATTTTTGATATGTAATATGATATGAAGGGAAACAAACCAGGTTCCTTTGCACTATTAAGGAAATATCTTGCCGTTTAAACCGGTCTTGGTCGGGTCCGGATACATAGCTGATGAATTCATTCTTGTCCTTATTGCAAAGCTTATTGCTAGCTCGAACATCGGGTACCGCGTAGGAAAGTGAGTTCACCTTTGAGCTTCTCGCCATAGTATCTGCTAACAAGTGTGAACGATATTTGAATGGGTGGCGCAGCAAAAGAGAGCATTACATCACAGAGCGATATGAATGCCCTGCCTTTATGATACTCTTATATACATATAATACTGCGCAATACAGCGCAGATTATTGCATAACCCTGTAGGCAAGCCGGCCTCATCAAACCGGCAATGGAGAAGGTTCTCTTATGAGGGATGCTCATGCCAGAATCTATTTTATGGGAATGTTATTTACGATGGTATCAGAAAAATACCCGACGCAAAACGTCTGATAGTTCGATATGGCATCAGGGTTTATCCATTGATGACAGCTTCACAGAAATCTACGTTTTTACGCTGATTCATCACCACTTCGGATTGACCCGAGAAGAATTCTCGTTCTATGCTCACAGTTAGATTGGATATAGACTGAGTGCAGCGGCAGACTATTTCAAAACATTATCAAAGTAATCAAGGTAATCCTTATCCTTATCCTTACTATATATAAACCACAAATGTCCGTTTTTCTGTTTGTCTGTATGTTTGTTTGTCTGTTTCACTGTAACTAACTTATACGGCCTCGTTTGGAAATCAGATGGAACAGCTCAGACAGGTTGGAACAAGTGGGGATTGGGGATGAACAAGTAGAGAATGAGCCGAACTCCTTAGGTACGCGTAATCTAAGCTAGGCTCCGCCCACTAGGAGCGGGGCTTGCGCAAAAAGTGTATCTGTAACTCCTTTGCTCCTGGTCCTAGAGTATTCAAATTTGGCAGAGATGAAGGTGGTAAGATGGGAAAACCAATGAATACATATGATGTGAAACAGGGTAGAATATCGCAAATGTACACTGCGCACTTTGCAGTGGTATTTCTCCTGAAGCAGATGATTAGACGTGATGATAATCGAGTTGTAATACGAAATAGGAACTCTGGTGGAGAGATTGAATGATAAAGAAACCCCAGCTAAGGTAATAGTTGGAAGTGATGGTAAATATGTGTAACAAGGTGAACTGGACTGCGCTTAACTCGAACAAACTGGACTGTATCAGAATTTTGAAGCTTGTGAAACGTGATCGGGCTTACCGCATTCACTTTAAGGGGTTTATCGGCAAGTAGTTCATCATTAGACTGAGCATTTGTCGGAAGGTAAAATGTTGTGATTGGAGTCGCGACAGCGTCTGGAAAAGATCTATATCTTCATAATGCCAGGTAATGAAGCCTTGACATTGTTCATGCATGATCGTATTTAGTCTTTCAAGAAGGGTTGAGGGTGGTCACTGTAGAACTTTGAAGTTCGGCATCTTCTACTTGGCACGGTGGAAAGCTGGAAAGCTAATGAAAATTAGTACTGCTACTGTAAAACCATATATATATATATATATATATATATATATATATACTTCGAATGAAGATCATAAATTCTCCTATGCCGCTTTGAATCAACAAATAATTCTGAGTTGTTAGTAAATCTTTATTTTGGTGAACTTATTAGAGGCTCAGTGGCCTAAATAGTTGATCAGTAATGCGATGGCCTGTGAAATCACAGAAAATTTTGAGTTGGTAGTTCGGTTCGGAGTGTTTCAGACAGAGTGTTTCAGCAGACTTACGAGAATCTAGGGCTCACATCCATCTAGAAATCAATCATGGGAAAAGTTCATTTTTCTGTCTGACGAGCTGCATACATTGAGCAACTAGAAGTGCGAAGCAAGCGGAGCGGAATAAAAATCGATCGAGACTAAAATCGTACCAACAGTGGCTGCTACTGGAGTGCTGACGATAACCACAATAATGGCAGTATACGATAGTGTACTAAAACGATGAAGTGGCCGCAGCATAGCCTCTGCGTTCCGCAACAGGACAGCAGCCAGAATCCCACCATTTTTCCTTTTTCTCGGCTGACGCTTTCTTAGCGATCGGCGGCCGAAATAGGTCACCTACTCATCTGTCGAATACAGACAACCGCAAACATCTATGTAAATAGGGCCTGAACAGTGCGACCTATAATTTAGTTATTTTTTCTCCTTGTACTACAATTAATCGGATATGGTATTGTATTATGATTTTTTTCCCGTGTATGTACATTGAACTTCAAACTGCAAATAGGACCAATGAATACAAAGGTTTTCACATACATAAATTTGGAAACTGGGATTCAAGTGTAGCCGAAAAGGTAAGGGTTTCATAAAATCTCAGAGCTCAGAACTGGCTCAGCCGAGGTATTTACCCAGGCGGGCTCTCAGATGTTGTAGAGGCTGTAGAGGTTGCACTACTCGCACCGGGACGCTCTCATAGGCAGCTTACAGTAGCCACCTGTGTGCAATGGCACATTCATTCAACACATTTGAACAGCTCGTCCAAACTGTTCTTTTATGCAACTTCTAAAGTCGTATTCTCGTCCAACAGCTGTTTTAATACTTTTTAGGCTTCATATTTCCCTGAGTACGCTGATTTTTGCAGTTAATACGCCACTTTTGCGTTATTCTGTACTACCTTTTGTATTATTTGTCTTGAACTAGATACCAAAGAAATTCACATGAACTGTGTTTTCGTTGTGCTCGTAGTCGGCTCATGCAACTAGAGAACGACAAGGTTTTTTTTGCTCCTGCGTTTCCTCGTTGAAAGGTCGTTTGAATGCAGCAATTATGAAGGTCTTATCGTCCACGGTGGTTTTCTCTTAGTTCAGAGCTTATTGTACATTCACTGTACATACAATACAGCAAAATGTCGCAGTGGGACGGAGCTGAAGGGTACCCAATGACTTGCAATATGTGTTCTACACCCTCTCCTGTACACTGGTCTGTTCATTCACACTGTGTGGGAGTATTATTCATTTATTTAGTTATTTATTTATACACTCTACTGAGTGCGCCAGAACTAGCAAATAAACCACCCGACGCCCTGTACAAAGTGAGATTAGAAAAGGGAAAGAGGACAAAATCACTGGCGCATACCAATATCCAGAAGCTGCAGTAATGAAACAACGAAGATGCTCTCATAGGCAGTAACCGCACCAGTTGGCCATGGTGCCCCCATTCCGTGAAAAGTCATAGGACAAAGTAGGAACTTCGGCACACGGGTCTGCCAACTCTCGTGGAACCGACTTGTGAGCTACTGGCCGATTGGCAAGAAGTTAGCGGTTGAGTGAACGTTTCGCTAGATCAAAACCATCGAAATAAGCCGACTTTAGCCTTCCTTCTTCAATAGCAACAGTGACGAAGGACTGCAAGTTTAAGATCGCTATGAAAGGAGCACTACGAAATAACAAAAAATGCAATTCGAACATTGAAAATAAAAAGAAGGGAAAGCAACTTATAGAAAGACACTGAGAAGTTGGGCCAACAAACTGATTCCGAAGAGATAACGGCGACATAGATGAGCAATCGAGAGACATCAGAATTAGGATAGATGAGGCAGGAAAGAAGGCGAGGTTTACATCCTTTAGGCCATGAATATGCATTCAGGAAACGGGAATGAGGGGAAAGGGGCTTCATAGGTCATGCTCGCCCCACTTACCGCAACAGATGTAGCTGCTGCTGAAGATTACCGAATGAGAGCTGCTTTAAGCAAAACCTGTGAATGACACCATAATTATAATTATGAAGCTTATAAATCGATTAATCATTCGGGAAGAATTAATTGAATGCTAAGGCTTGGTAGGATCTCTTTATTCTTTTGCTTTGCAATGAAAAGTAATTAGATTTAGCGCTTCTTGGCTGGAGGACCCAGACCTTACTAGATTTGAATTTTACTTCTTTGCGAATAATACGAAAGCAGAATATCATTCGCAAATCGTCTGTCTTTCATATTCATCAAACGAAACACTTAAACGATTTTCATAAGTAGAATCAGGCTGTAATCCGTGTCAGGAAGCTTCCTGGAGAACGGTACTCTCGTAAAAGTTTTCTGGCTTTACTTTAGCCCAGCAATATCCTTCTTACACATCGGGTATCGATCCTGAGAGCAGCATTCAAGATGAGGAGGACATATGCCTTGTGCCAACAAATTAATATTCTTCAGTCGTTAGTTAGCACATTACGCAGGATGAAAAACAAAACAGAGAAGGCCCTTTTCACCACACTGTCTATGCCAGGAAAGGGCCAGAGATCAGAGGGAGCATAAGTAACTCCCAAGACTTTGACGGAATAACAGCGCGCCAGTTTGGCGCCACTATGTAGTTTCATAATTCAGAGAAGAACATACACCGATATGCAGGACCGGACGCTATTTAAGTTTCATAGAGAGTCGTCACAGAGTGGCCCGCTCAGAAATCTTTTCACTTGAGCGCTGAAGAGCTCATTAAGCTTCTCCCTGGTTTTCCTTACCATAAGCGACATAAATTTTAATCATCAGCGTATATTTGTGTTTTGATGTAATTCGAAGTCTTTGTGTAAGCTGGAACATCAACAGTGTATATGAGGAAAACAAGGGGAGACAACACACCACTTTGAGAAACTCCACTGTGACAATAATAATGCTGCGAAAAACTCTGACCAATTTTAACCGTCGTATATCTAACGTTGAGGTAAGATCTGAAGCAGCTTAGCAGCTGCGCACTGATGCCAAGACCAGGTAGTCTTGGCAGATCACTAGAAGCACCACATAAGAACCCATGCTGCTCTTCTGGAGCCGCCATCAATCTGTTAGGTCAAGCCGAAACCCTGTTTCTAATCAATGTCGCTAATCAGAGAAATTGCTAATAGGCCGGAAGTCAGATAAAGTCGGATGTCGGAGGTCTTAGGAATGGCTGGCACTATTCTTCCCCGATGTCAGGTGCTTTTCCGAAAAGCAAGGAAATGTTGAAAATGTGTGCTAATGATCTGCATAATAAGCGAGCACACCCACGGAAAAGTATGTGGGGGAGCCACCATACGGTCCACGGATGGCTTGAGCTTAGCTAGTATTTTGAAAACATCCTGGGGAAGAAAGGTAATCAGAGACAGGCCAGATTGATCCCGAACTGATTGCTAGCCCGAACCACATTCTCAAAGTTATTCGTGGAAAAAACGCTAGCGAAGTAACTGCCCGAAGCTTCAGCTTTCTCCTCATCGGGGATGAAGAGACCAAAAGCAATCCGAGAGCACAGGCAGCTTTGAAGATACTTTACCTCTTTGTTTGTTTAGGCGGAAAAGGTGCGTAGAACCAATCTTGTTCGACAACCGCATGTCATGATTCTCAAAAAAATTTGTGAAATGTTTACCGAGGTCGGGGAGCAAACTCTGCTGTAGAATGTATTTGGTAAAAGATTCGGAAGCATCCGGGAAAGCCTCTCTATCACTTGGGCCAACAAAGCTCGATATGAGCAGGATAACTAACATTATGCATAGATGGACGCCTAAAAGGAACAAAGGAAGCGAGAATGGTGTGATTTTTCTGCAAAAACTCTTGTAAACCTCATTAATGGAGGTATAATTGTTGAAAACAACAAACCTGTCAACAGCAAGAAAGACCAAATTTAACAGTCGGTAATCAAGCTTGGCAAAAAAAAAAATTGTGTAAAAGAGATGACTGAGGTAAAGAAATTCTTTTAGCAAACTCGAAGGCCACGGCGTTATACTCAGAACTGGAGAATGGAGGCACAGCGGAAGTACATCTCACAATCAAAAAAGAGGATAAGACCAGCAGGACATCTGTGAAACGCACTTTGCGAAGGCGAGTGTGTAAAAAGACGAAGTTAATGGCAGCGTAATCTCGCGGGAGCTTATTGGGCCAATCATTATTAAGGATGTAGTCTCCAATGACTAATGAGGGATCGCGTAGAACAGAGATTCAAAAGAAGTTCGATGAAGGCTTCATCAACGATAGTAGAGATACTAACTGTCCACTATCAGACTGCCAGAAGTCTGATACTGGTAGTGGACAAAGAAGAGACACTACTCAGAAGTTGTACAAAACGCCACCCTCACGAAGCAGGTAAACGCTTTAAACACTTTTATAAAGGCACCACTCTGACAAGACAGAAATAAACATTGCATTGTTTCATGCGCTAAGTCGCTAAGATACAGATACTTTATTGCAAGGGGATATTCAAAATTGAAAATTTCATACTTTATTCGGAGCAATATCACTCGACAAGTAGGTAAAACCACACACAAGAGATCTCGAAGAATAAAGGGATCAGCAAAGACAGTAGGTTTGAGCAGAGTGCCCAAACAAGTGCCAGTTGATCTCTGATAAATACAGAAACACTAAATATAATTGACTATACTACGCACAAAGGTTTATTGGTACTCGTAGTAGAATGCAAGAGTATTCAACTATACTGTCAATACTCTTTTGAATCTTCGCCAGTTACATTGAGAAAATTAGTGTTAACAAAAGCCAACAAAGGTGATATCTGAGGAACATCAGGAAAGTAACACCGAGTCGAAAAAAAGCAGCATCAGGTCAAGTTTATGGTTTAGAGTATTTCGAAAATTGCTGGCGAGCCTTCTTCAATACTGGAGTCTAGCAAAACGCATGATCTTTAGATATCACCGTGATATAAAAGAGAAGTTTCACCTACATCGCTTTTCCAGTCGGTGTTTTGAACTATCTTCATTAACCTAGAAACCTTGAACTTTGAACCTGTTAGCAGGAGCAAATACTTCTTGTCGGCGTATCATCTACGTTTCTCCGACCGCCTTGTCGTAATCATTTAGAGACAGAACTTGAAACTCGAGAAGTTTGCTATGTATTCTGAGTGAGGCAGACCGCTACCGCTACCGTTACAATACTAGTGAACAGAGTGATAGGCATTCCGGTGGAACAATCTACTTAACAATCGGTTACACAAGTTTAAGCTAACTTGGCTACGGTTTCGGAGAGGCTTGTCCGAGAACAATGCTGTGCTTGAACGCTGCTTGACCATTGGCCTTTTCAGGACCCACCGGTTTAGCTGGTGTTACCCTACTAGATCTGAAATCTCTGTTCATTTTGAAGATGGCGGCTGGATTGCGATAGATGCTCTCTTGTCGTCCAATAGAATTGCCAGATGAAGGTTCTGACAGCTCACTGGAGTCGATGACGCTTGGCGCAGATGCTTAAATAAGTAAATATTTCGCTTTATACACAACTCATTCAAATCCAGCATTTCCATCACCATGCTATGACCATAGATAAACATAGAATCATAAGTAAATTTGCTGAAATTAAATCTAGCTTCCATTTTGTTTTAAATGACACCGAATGCGCCGACTCTACCATTATTCTTTTTGTGCATTCCATATCCAGTGACCTTCAAAAACCTAGACGGTCTAAGGCTATTCGATCTTACTCAAAACCGTGGGGCAGAAGGCAGGTTCATTTCCTTTGACTTCGTTTTTGCGAAAGCAGTGAAAAAACGTGACAGTTCATTGGTTCTTAGATCATGATGTAACATCTAAATCAGCCCATTGGAAGAAAAAGAAATCAATCCTGGATATTTCATGTTTGTCCAGCCCAGGCTGAGACTCTTATGTCATGGAAACATCCTACTACATACATATACACGGTATAAAGCGCTAAGTGTGACTGCTGATTTGTCGGTGCGTGTATGTGTGTATGTCAGTGTGTATGTGCGTCGGTGTATGTGTATGTAGGTGTGTTTGTATGGCAGTGTGTGTGTATGTGTGTATGTGTGTATGTGTGAGTGTGTGTATGTGTGTGTATGTGTGTGTATGTGTGTATGTGTGTATGCGTGCATGTGTGCATGTATGTGTGTATGTGTGTGTGTGTTTGTGTGTGTGTGTGTATGTGTGTGTAATTCGCCGGGGATTCGGAGGAGGCGGAGGGAGGAGAGAGTGGTACGTTAGTAGGCGCATTTTGAGCAGTATTGCAATATGTGGGGAGTGAACCGAGTTGCCTGAACACAGGAGGACTAGGATAGGACTCAGTAGAATTCAGCTTATAACTGGTGCGGCGCGCACGAAGTATGTCCGAGTGTTAGCGTGTGTTTTTTCGGAAATAACTCCTGTTCGTTTTTACCTGAATGCCCAAATATGAAAGTTGTGCAGGCAACGGGCCAATTCCGAAACGATAAGGAAGAGAGCCCTGCGTGAATCCTGCGATTCGACTGGTTGTTCAGGCATGAACATATCACTTGATATCAAATCATGAGTAACATTGGACGTCTCGCAAAAAATATTCGCTTAGAGGACCTTCACCAAGCTGAGCACACTCTGTGCTAAAATTTTTCATCAGGGCTCACAATCGTATGGTGCTAGGAGCACACACCTGAACGTTGTCAGTAGGCGGTGAAGGAAAGTCTTTAAGCAAGATGCGACGACGTCAATCAAAAGCTGCAACTGAAGCATTAATTGCTTCTTCTTCAAGCACTGGAAGCAATAAAACTGCACTGCAAATGGCAAGCTACAGATTGAGGTCACTACGCACTGAGTCAAGGGCACGCAGATGTAGGAAATATGCTGTGCTGACCATAAGACTGAATTTTCATGTTCTATTACTGAGGCTTCAATGATAAGGTATTGCTCTCCAACCCGATTATACGTCAATCTAAATTTCACAGGACTGCTGACGGTAATTTTCACTTGAGAGCGTCTCATTTTAACCATTGAACCTACTAGAAACGCTATCAGAAACGAACTCTGCCTTGGAAAAAGGTGGTATTCTAGGTACGATATAATTAACTTACAATCTCTACCAAGACGAGTGATTGCTGTCAGAATTGCTGGCATGATGACCAATCCATGGAACATTCCAAGTGTACACACAACGACAATCGTCTTGAAGAATACCATTACAAGATATGACGGCTTCAGGGTCAGCGGCACGATTGCGATGATAGTCGATAGGCCAACCTAAATTGCTTTACAAGGATTCATGCCACGTCAGTTTTTCTAGTCGCAGTCTCCTCTCTACGTGCAAAGTTTCTCATATCACGTTGTAATGTGAGACTTTTTGAATGGATTAGTGCCTCTAATGCAAATTAGGAGTGACCTTGCATTATTACACCTCACAATAGTTTAGGAAAGCACAAGAAACCAGCGTTCCGCCAAAGTTGAAAATGCAATGGATGAAGTTTCAAAATTAAAAAATGGATGCGTAAAACTATCGAAAAGAGTTAGACAGGGAAGCGCTTTCCACGATCCCACCCATCCGAAATCAGCTCCAGTGAAAATAGGATTGTGAGTGATCCAAATCGGGACTGATATTCGTGCAGGAATATGTTTTCTAGTTTCTCGCACCCCCACCTCCATGCCAAATTTCTATTTTTTTTTCAATAAACTTTTTATTAGGTTGGCAAATAAGTCCTGCGACAAAATGAAGACCTTTTTTAAATCATTTCTAAATTTTTTCGTATCAATTAATTTTCGGAAAAATATTTACTGAAGAAGTCAACAACCTCCTTTTATCCTTTGGGCTAATCACTGATGCTATCTCTTCAGGAGTGAGGGAGCTGTGACTCAAAGAAGTAATTGACTTCCGTTTTTGGACCGCATTAATTTACGAATTTCTTTTCCACAACGGGATGCTCAAGCAGGAAGAGCACATGGTAGCTGAAAGGGGGAACACTCCGGGAGTAGGACTGATGAGTAATCTGGAACCAATCGGGATCGGTGAACTCTTGACGTGGGTCTAAAGCGAATTTTCGACGTGCGTTGTCCCTCTGTAGGGGCCTGATTTACGGTTTGATCGCCCTTCTCTAACCCCGTTGGCCCAATTAAGGGGATCATAGAGGCAAGCGATAGCTGTGTCCATCTAATCTGCGATTAGCAACTCATAGTGGATGGATTCCTTCAACCTCCATTGAATTAAGCGACAATGCTTGCGCTACTCCGAAGGCTAGTATCTCCTGCAGTGAAGCGATCCAACCGATTGTTGCCCGTCGATCGGTGAGCAGTGCTAGCATCGAATAAATTGCTGATATTTCGGGCCGTTACACTCGCATTTTTCCCTTGGCGTGCTTAGTAGAAGGTGATGGTACGAATCGGGTGTTGTGCATTTCCTGACCGTAAGGCTGCAAAAGCCCACACGCGTGCCCTTATTTAGTTATGTGTTAACTGCCTGAGGAATTTCCTACAAGTCTATCACCCTTGCTACCGTGTTCACACTGTTGATACAAATTTTCAACGCTTCGAAATTTTTGTCGCAGGACTTATTTGCCAACCTAATACAATGCTTCTTCTTGAACATGAGAAGCAGAAGCGAGCAATTTTACTTACGATTAGATCGATTCGTATTCGCGTTCGAAGTTGTGTCGACTTCTAGGTGACAGTGACGATGAGGGTGAAACCCAGGGATAGTCGTCGGAAAATTTAGTATGAGATTACATCCAAAACTACTGTTCCCGTAGGGTAATTGTTGACCACATACTGTGCAGTGACCGATTGAAAGGGGTTCGGGATTCAACCCATTTTGCCGTGGTAGTTTGATGAGATGTTAGCATAACCTCCATCATTCTCATATATAGGAAATTCCGGGGTTATGAGATGGGTAGTAAAGAAGAAAAATAAGTTCTCAAAGATCTCAATGTTGTCACCAAGTGAAGCACTTCAGACACTAATAACACCAATGATAGGTAACTTATTTATCCTCTCCTTCGGAAAAAGCTGTATTTTATGGTAAAGGGTTGTGTGTGCATGGAAAAACAAAAGAAACGAGGATACAGTACAACAGAGTCGCGACGATAGGCACTGTAAAACATTTCGTGAATGGATGACTTTCAGACACGTCTTTTCGGATAACGATGCTACCAAGTAAAAATAATGCTCACCTGCACTAGTGGCCAGCCTATACAATTTAGTGTTTCTTCTAGTCGCAAAGCTGGATCCTTTAATGTTAAATTTTTGTGGACTTGATGAACGTATAGTGTAACTGTCGGCAAACTTTAGCTCACATGTTGTTTTGATTTGTAGTAGTGATAAGCGATGTGACTAGTAAAGTCGACTGAGAAACCCACTGCCATTAGTAGGGCAGCCATAGAGAGTGGATCGAGATCGATTCCTGAAATGCCACAGTTCATTACTAAAACCACTTCTGTTGCCATTACTATTATAGTTAGTTTGCATCCTAACTCGGGCTGGTATATCGAAAACGAGTGTAAGATGGAAGTGTTTTATAGCAGTCAATGCATGTGAGCATTGCTGAGAGCTAGAAGAAAGTTTGAACCTAATAATTTCCAATTTCTCTCTTGTTTCAACCTCGGCATTGTCGTTTGCGTCGTTAATTCGTTTGTCGTTTGAGGTTTTTAGGTGGAACACTTTATTAACTTAACAGCTTAACGTTTCGACGTAATCCTCGTCTTCAAAGGCCTAAACGCAATCGAGATGTTTTACAATATCCGATAGCGTTCGACTCTCTGGCAAAAAACGACATGAATTTATCGGAAACTCACCAAACTCCTTCGTTAAAGCAGTTAGAATCCGCTGTCGCTACAGGCGACTGTTAGTAGCGAAAGAGACTTATTTATGTATCTTTTATACTGATAAAGGAGATCGCATTACGATGCTACTGACCACGAGACATAGCTTCCAGAGTGGTAAGTATGGCAAGAGATCACCAGTTATGGATGAACACTCATCCCGTTGGTCATCTTGGGATTTGTTGCAGAATCCAGAACGCCTCTAATGCCTTTCTTGCTGAAATTCTCGCCCCCTTCGCTAATACCGCGCACTTCACTTCAAAATTGTCGCCGTTGTGCCCTTAACTTTATGCGGACCGAAAGTTGTTAAAAGGTTTCCGCGCTTCATACTAGCCAGATGTTCTTTTATCCGTGTGGCTAGTTGTCGTTCTGCTTGCCGATATAGGCTGATCCACATGCCCGACATTCTAGCTGGTAGATGCCTATAAGTGCGCAAACACATATGTTCCCGTAGGGGAATATGGTACAGTAGTTCGTCATACACTGTTCATCGTAGAGCCGGTTTCGAACCAACCATTGCTTGATGTTGCTGTAGGGAAAGCATGTGGATTAAGTGGTGCCTGACGTCTGCTATAATAAAGGCTTAATTCACGATAGAAAGTGGTTTCTGAGTTCTCACCAGAATGAATATATGGCTCTTCAAGATAACACACTGCATTATGAAGAAAAACTTTTGATGAATCCATTGCATGCCGAGTATGAGTACATACGTGGGTCAGGAGATGCGCGCGGCAAATTAAGCAGTAAGAGTCGTGAAAATTTAAACAACTTTAGCGCCTTTCACTATTTTGTGCTGTGACTATTTCGCACACGTTCCCACGGTTTTTTACCCAGCTGTTGAATGGTATAGTGGCTATTACAGCATCCTGTAAAAATGCAATCTCAATTCTTGTGAAAAGACATTTACATTTACTTCGGTAGACAATTTATGTATAGTTTTCCCTGAATAAAACAAGGAGAGTTAGAGAGTCTTGCAGAGAGAGACACAGACAGAGACGAAAGCATGAACGTTTCCCAGTATTCCCGATAAAATCACTGTGAGAGAGAAACATGTCCTAGCTCCACTATTAATTTGTCTCCTAATAGTCGCGCAGATTCGTCTGAATAAATTATGAATTTCGGAATTTCGATTTCTGAGCGTTTCATAGGGCTATTTTTCCGCGTTCCGAACGAACCCCAGCCAATGATATATACCCAGTTTTGGATCCAACCTTTTGCCTTTTGGGTTCGAGCAAGGATCAATCTTCGCCTAAGCGAACCTAGCCTTCCATCCCTCCGGGGTCAGCTAATTGGTATCAGACTCATTTGTACATCGACTGGCCACCGCAGGTCATTCTAGAGGCCACATACCCATCTATCACGCCACTACGATTCTGAATAGAAGTGGACGCATCTCCCAGACAGGATTGGTTAACGCCTCAAGACTTTATCCTTTTATCTTTTGCTTTCTCTGTGATAATTTCATAGTTCGTTCAAGCCTCGTGGGACTCTCGACTTTTGGCCAAAAAACGGACTACATTAGAAGTGATATCGTCATCTTCAAGATTTACTCATTAAAGGACTTGTGCAGCTATCTTAATAACTGGTATGTCGGAGGATGGGCAACGATGGTAACATTACCCATTTGCTAATCGCTAGTTTAGAAGGGCTCTTCCAACTCTCTATAAAATTTTAATGAGGAGAGGTCTAAGTTGACAATCTGGTTCTTTGGAAGCACCTCATCTTTTCAACCACATCATATTGGTCTGACCTTCTTTAAATGAAGATTAGCTTTGGACATCGTTCGAGCAACTTCATCTTATACTTATCATGATCGTCATGAGTGGAATTGTCGTAATCGTTCCACCCATTACCAGCAGTCAGTATTCGGTCCGAGGATGGGTGGTCTTAATTGCCTTCGAAGCGCAAACCGCAAACAAACTCACGGCGTCAAGGGCATCTCCCACCTTCATATTCGCCACATTATGATATCATTTACCGCTACGAGAAAGGTTGGAAGGCAAGGAGTGGAAACTATTCGAATGGGTTCCTCGAGAACTATCTTTTCACTGATTTGTTGTAACACTTCGTTGCTTTTGTTCTCGGTGGAACGACAATGAAAAAAGTCAACAGAGGCGCATTCTGGACAAGAATAGCAAAACCGAAACCTTAGCAGCATTACCTATCTGGCTCAGCTCGACCATCTTCAAGCTGCACGTGAAGCTAAACTACCCGAAAGAAGAACTATGACGTCTCCATCATGATAACGCTCGTCCATACGTTGAAGGTCGTGTCCTCGAATCGACCGCAAGTAAGAGATAGGATTTGCACCTACACATGTTTACCTATAGAAACTGCTACGGACTATCGCATCAATCGTCCGATGAAAAACTTGTCAGCGAACATGATTCACGACGAATTGGATGATTTGCTCAAGGCGTGGATCGCCTCCAAGAATCAAAAACTCCTTTCGTGGAGTCGACCAAATGTCTAGTAAATAGGAAGCACTGATGCCTACGTTCTAGAGTAGTTATTCAAGCATGTCCTCGTTGAATATTTCTATCACTTTTGTTGAATAAAATTTGTTGGAGAAAATCCGCAGTTATTCAACCCAATGTTTGGAACTTCACTAGCTGAGCTAAATCAAAAGTGCTTCATCCCATCGAATGTTGCCATCAATATACTTATTACATCAGGAATAAACTAGAGTCCCATCTGTTTTAGTAACAAACATCAGAGCTTCATAATAATTAGATCTCATTTTCGTTGCTCATTATCAGGCTAGAAAAAATGGAGAATGACCGTATATGGTCTGTTGGGAGACAAGTCAACAAGAAGCTCATCGGTATTGCCGCAATTCTACAAGTTTTATGTCAGATTTCCAGAATCTCGAGGGCTACGAAATTGTTTCACCATGGAATAAACTGTAACTACCGGAAGTCAAGTGTGACTCCATTCCTTCTTATGATATCAGAGATAGGAACTGGATCCGGCCTCTTTTGTGCCCATAAAGAGAATAACGCTCATTTACTACTCCACAGAGTCAAACATGGTAGAATTAACTTGGATCGAGATGAAATCTGAATTGGAAAAATCTGGTGGAAACGGCCAGAGGTGCATTTCCGTAGTGCTATTCATATTGTTAGCCCATTTTTGCCATTAAGGTGGTTTTCTCGTCTCGATATTTTTGCAGAAAGCGTCCAAGCATACAATGAAATCCTTTCAGCAATCTTCGACGTCAAAGTATGTCGGAAAGCTGCTCTGAGCCCTTGTACCCTTCATTCCCGGGGGGTGCGAACACGCGTCAATATAATGAGCTTATCTGGCGTAAAAGGAGGGCTCACGGCGGAGCGATGCAGTGGACGAGACGCGCTATAACATTATGTCTACCATCTTAAGGGTAGATATGAGAACTTATAAAAGACGAGAACAAATGGCCAATTATGAACTTTTACAGAAGAACTGCGTTTTTAGGATCGGACTATTTCGAAGTTACTCTCAATTTGAATTTTCGACGAGTAAATTGTTTAACTATGTGGCAAATCCTTGATCTCTAAAGGGCTTCATTCACATAGTAAAGTGATTTGCACTACTTCATGGTCAAGCCATGGACAAGTGCGCAGCTTAAGGGTACTGAAGCGATCGCATCGAAGCATATACGTAATCTGTCGCGTAGTACGTCGCATGCTGCGTGCGCGAAGAGCTCTGATGGCAGTCACTCGTGAACTGCACGCCCCACTTCCCAGCCCNCCCCCCCCCCCCCCCCCCCCCCCCCCCCCCCCCCCCCCCTTCGTTCCCTCTAGTGCTCTATTCTACTACATTCAGATCATTTCTCACACTCACATGCAGCGTTTTACCTTGTTATCATTAATATACCAGGTGTAAATAGTCAATTTAAAATTTCTTTCCGTTTCAGAATTTGTCTGTGTAATAAATATACATGAAAGAGGTTGACTGAAATTAAATCATTGCCCTATACTTACCCCATAGACTCAGCAATCCAAGAATGCCAAGGGTGACTGAGAGTACGGAAAAACATGCTGTCATAATACACGCGAAATTTGGTATAAAAATAAAGCATGCGACTGCCGTGCACAATAAAGCGGCTCCCATTGAGCTCCAGACAGTTGAGTCAATCGCCATCGTCTGCAATGTGAATAATTTGTCAGTTCCCTAATTGTGAATGCTTTAAGTTTCGCTCAGTTGAAGCAATCCAACTGATCCCGTAAGTGACTGTGACAACGAACGGTGTGACAATGAAACCTGCTGTGGTTGCTCATTCGTACCGGTAGTTCGACAATAAAATTATCTGTGAGAATAATCCTACTGGAGTGAAATATATCAGAATCAGTTTTCCAGGGTAGGTTTCTTATAGGGGAATTGTGCCGAGCAAAGTCGTAGAATGAGGAAGTGATTGAGGAGACTGGTACTTTGAGTGAATGTATGAAAGAGGATTGGGTCCAATAATAAGTTGTAAACTCTGCACATGTAAACGTGCGCACTTCACCTGACGAATAGGATGAAGATGACGTAAACGGTTTGGAAATGTCATAGATGGATTTGTTACATTAAAGCATTGTTCAGAATACAGAGACTATCAGCGAAGGGCATAACGTCTTGCT